AAACTAGCAAAGGTCATTGGTTGGCAAATGTAAAATATGGTACTACTATTCAAACTTTATAAACTCAATTCTAAGGTAAACTTGTGTGTGTGTTTTTTTTTTTTTCCTTTTTCTGTTTTTGTTATAGTTGGTGGCCATCTATGAGATTTTAAAGGATGAAGAACGGAGGCAGAGGTAAGTTAATTTGCACAGCTTCTTAAATAAAGCATTCATGCCAGTAATATATTGAAGTAGTATTTGACTTAACTGTAACTCTTCGGATTATTTTTTGCATAATTTAAGTTTGTAATTTCTGTGTAGCTGTTTAATTAGAGATTATGTGTCGCTTAAAGAGGAAGCTGGTGTGTATTTTTGTGTGATATACTGGTTATTCTCATTTAAAACTAGTATTTGAAAGTGCTTTAAAAGCCAACTGTTACTGGGAGCAATTTTTTTTTGACACTTAACAATTACGCTTAACAACTTTTTGTTGAGTTGTGTCAATTATCGTTGCTTGTTTTAGTAAAGCTGTGGTTGAAAATATAGGCCACAGATTCAACTGTCGGTCCTAGGTCAGTATTTCAAGAAAAGGTTTGTTGCATGATATTTCGGGATTTTTTCCAGTGTATGTCATCTTCAACATTTTTTTCTGTTGTTTAGTTAATTGGGTTTTTTGTTTCAGGTGTACTATCTATAATAATGTAAACTTCGCTATACCTAGCATTCTGGGGTTTTTTTAAAGAAATGATAGTTGTCCTTGCTGCTTCGGGAGCAGGTCCATCAGTACCTGAAGGGTATAGGATTAAGAACTGAAAACCTGGGGCTGATCTGCTTTTTGGAAGACTATTTTGAACTTTTCTCTGTTAAATCACCATTTAAACTAATGATTATCAGGAAAACAGCATCACTGAAAGAGTTTTGCTTTTGGGTTGGAGTTTTATTAAATCATCTTTCAGCTTACGAGTCTGTAAACAGGGCTTCATGAGACATTTCTTGAAGGGTTTTTTGGCTTTGTAGATGTCTCGACAGGAGTCCAGGTTTTATAGTAAAGGTTATCTACTTTTTGCTAATCCTCTCTTGAAGTGTCATGAAAATGTACTTCATAGAAGTACTTTTGGAAATCTGTATTATTTTTATTTCATCTCTCACAAGAGAATTTAGTTGTGAAGTTATACTCAAGGAAAATTTTTTTTAAAAGTTAGTTAATTGGTTTCTAACCACTTGAAAAATGAGCTATCCCAAAAGTTTTCCCACCTTTTTGTTTATAAAGCGGCTTAGATAGACTTTGATATTGCTTCTCTGGAATTTAGTTCCAGCATGGAATTTCCTTGCAGCTGTAATAGCAGCTTTTTGCATGGAACTGTGATGCACCTACTGGCTATGCGTTGTGTGAGGTGATGGACCTAGTGGAAGAGGTTCAAAGTTTACTGTCATGCCCATGGACTGGAGAGAAACTGTGCTGCACCTTTTGTCTCTCAGGGCTTATCAGCTCAGTTTTATCCTGATTCCAGAGACAGTTATTTGGGTCTGCTGTAGCAAGGCTTTCTGCCGGATTTTATTTTTTTTTTTTTTCCCCTTGGCAGCGTGGTAATTCTTATTTCTGAAGTAACTCGAAGACCTGATTAGTTCATTTTCTTACAAATGAGTTGGTGAGGAATTCTGGCAGTTTAGCTGTGAATCCCTTCACAGCTCGACACCTAAATGATTCGGGGCCCAGGGTTATACCACCTCGAGAAGAGTGAGCTGCAGAGCTTCTGCTGCTGTTTGGCGAGGTCAGCCATACCTGCCTCTTACTGTTCATCTCCAAAGTGATGTAATCCAGCATTGGTCCTGGTGTGCGTACAGAGAGTGGAACCGGTAGAGGCAGGAATAAGGTCCTGCACTGTATATGTGAGTGATTAACTAGTTTTTAAACAATAAAACTGGGTCTAATTACACCCTTCCTCTTGTCTTGGTGAGTGTCAGAGCTGTTAATTGTTTGTGTGCGTGTACAGAAACAGCATTCTAAAAAGGCAGATCTCTTGCCTGGCTATATGTAATTATTTTTCTAAGACCTTTGTGTCTTCATATTTATCAGTGAACATTTACTTTATCTGATGGCAGAAACCTTTCTTAAAATATTATAGTTCCTCTGACAACAATTATAATACAGGGCTTTAGAATTAAAATGTGGTTTGCTTTTTTGATGAAATTATACTGTTGCTTGTGGATTATGCTATTATTAGTACTACTACAGAATATAGTCATATTACTGTGTTAGAACTTTTACATGCTTTGACTGATAGATAATCAAAACATTCTAATATTCTAACAGTAAACATACATGCAGCATTGTTTAACGTGGCAGTGTTTAAATTAAACATACATGCAGCAGAACGTAATATTTTATGTTTTGTATACACATTGCAGAGTGTCTGAAATTCAAGAGAAAAGTTTATCTTTAGGGTATGTAGAGATGGGTGTATTTCCTGAAATACGCTTTACTTTAGGGCGTTTATTAGTAAATCAACTTGACTATGATAAATTTTATTAGCCTTTGATTATTTTTAATTTGTGAAAAAGTAGATAGTTTTATGCACTTCTATTAACTGTGATTAGGCAAATATCTTAGATTTTAATTTAATTATTTGTTACCATTTTAAGGAGGTCTTTTACCTACCAGGCCTATCCTCTGTAACAATGTGGGCTTGATTACAGGAAACATTTGCAAAGGAATCAAGATATACTTGTTTAGAGTAAGAAAGGTGTTTATCTTAGCTCTCATTATAATTAAATGTCTGTATTCATAGGTATAAATTGTTCTGGCTGATGCTGCTCTGGATGTCTTTGACAGCTTGAGGGGAAAAGAGGTCCCCAAAATGAAAAACACCAGTGCAGTCTTCCCATAGTTCAGAATAGATCTCATTAATTCAAGGTTATAATATATAAACTACATCAGATCTCTGAAATTATTTGAAATATGAAATGCAGTGACTCTCATAAAGGGAAAAGTAAATTATAATTATATTAAGAGATGATGCTGTAATTAGCTACTACAGTTAATGGATTTTTTTTTCTTACAATGTAATTGAATCTGCAAAGAGCTCTAAAAACTATTTCATGAAACTTTACAGAAGAATGAAATTTTAATAATCTTGCAATTGGTTGCTTGTTAGTATAAGACTAACAAGTCTTGTATAGAATCCTAAGTTTTAAAGTAAAGATTCAACTTAACTTGTAAATGGGGACTTTTTTTTTGGTCTTTTTGTTTCTGTACTGATGCTTTGGAGTTTTTTGGCTTGCTGACTGGTATGTTTCAGAGACAATTGGCAGGCAAACTTGTGTGTCAAAGATTTGCTGCTTTCTGTGTATGTATGTCTGAGTA